TCAGCAGGTGGATTTAGTCAGGCCCGTCTGCGGACGGAAGGGGAGCCCGGTCACCTCCCGGGGTCTCCATGTGGAGTCAGCAGGTGGATTTAGTCAGGCCCGTCTGCGGACGGCAGGGGAGCCCGATCACCTCCCGGGGTCTCCATGTGCAGACGGCAGGTGGACTTCTCGGGTTAGGGTGGGAACGTGATAACCTCTGAGTGACTATGTGAGTGTGTGGGGAAATCAAGAGCCTTCTCTGAACCTCCAATCTGTAGCTCCACGGTGCAAACTACGGAGCGGAGCTCGGCAGGGCCCGAGACTGCGTCTCCGTAGCGAACCGCATATAGCTGATGGCGGCATCGAGCTGAGCTCAAGCTGAGCTCTCCGAGTCAGGGGATTATACCGACCCCCTGACTGCTAAGAGGTGCCTAAGTTCCCGCAGGGGGCGCAGCCAGGTGGGCATCTGAGTGGTCCTTCATTGGACACCCCTCCTTTGTCTGTCTTGCGTCACCTTTCAAAAGGGGACACACATCATGGGGAAAAGTCAGTCTAAGCCCACAGCCCTAGATGTATGGTCAAAAACTTCAGGAAGGGCTTTTCTGTAGATTATGGGGTTAAAATGACCCCAGGAAAGCTAAAAACCCTCTGCCGATCAGAGTGACTGGCGCTTAGCGTCCGAGGCCACCAGAGGGCACCCTGGAACTCTCCACGGTGCAGGCTGCTTGGAAGGCTGACTGGTAACCTCGACCACCAAAACCAGTTCCCATAAATTGATTCCTGGTTAGAGATAGCTCAGACCCTCCCCCTTGGGTTCAATTCTGTACTGGTAGGAAGGGACAGTGCAAGGTCCTCGTGGCCCAAGCAACTAAGGGACCCAAGCAACCCATTCATCAGGACCTGGAGAAGGAGCTGCCACTGCCTCATGTCCTTCCGGCACCATCAGCCCCCAGCCCACCCGCCTTGCCTGACACTCCACACACAAAAGCGGGAGATCTGAGCACCCTCCCTGGTAGCTAGATCAGTGTGCATGCTGCAGAGAGGGGAAACTGGAAGAATGAGTGCCTCTAGTGAACGGTCGCAGATGGGGCACTCCCCACCCCCCGCGCGCCGAGGGAGGGCAGAATACCAGCCAGAGCCTAGACAGGCCCACCTGATCGGCTTGGCCGGGATGGACTCAGACTAGGACGGGCCAGGCTCTATGAAACTTGGCCCCAGGAGCCCATGGTCAAGATGAAGGTCGAAGGCCACCCAATGACTTTTATGGTAGACCCTGCAGTGGAGTACTCGGTGGTCACCACTCTGGTTGCCCCATTTAGTAACTGGAAGGCAACTGTTGTGGGAACAACAGGTGACCAGGCAGAGCCCCGGCCATTCTGCCAAGATCGGATATGCCAATTAGGGGGGCACCAGGTACACCATGAATTCCTTTACCTACTGGAATGTCCTCTCCCCCTTCTGGGAAGAGACTTGTTAGGCAAACTGGGGGCGCAAATCACCCTTGAACCCCAGGAGACCAGCCAGTCTGACTTTGAGTGAGCCAAAGGGGGGCCTGGTCCCAGCAGTCACACTTCCATGTGAGGAAGAATGGAAACTGCACACTGTCTAGAGGTCAGAGGAGAACCCACCAGAATTCCTGGATGCCTTCCCTATAGTCTGGGCAGAGACGAACCCCCCAGGGATGGCTAAGGCCCACGTCTGCAGACAGCAGGTGAGGAACCTGGGGTTCATCATCACCAAAGGACACCGATCCCTGGGACCGAAGAGAAAAAGGGTGATTTCCTCCATGCCCACTCCCAACACCAAGCGGAAACTCCAGGAGTTTCTCGGGGAGGCAGGCTTCTGCTGCATATGGATTCCCGACTTCTTGGGCATAGCAAGGCCCCCCTATGGGGTCCTAACTGGGCCAGAAGATAGACCTCTTGAGTGAGATGATAGCCAAGACATGGCTTTCTGGGAAATCAAGGCACTGCTCCAAAGTGCCCCAGCACTAGGACTTCCAGATGTCACCCGACAATTCAATCTGTTCATTCGGGAGAGAAACAAAACAGCACTTGGGGTCCTCTCCCAGACCATGGGGCCTTGGAAGAAAGAGAGGAGAGTGAGAGGAGAGAGACAGAGATAGAGAGGAGAGAGAAAGAGAAAAAAGAGAGAAGAGAGAGACAGAGAGAGGAGAGAGACAGAGAGAGAGAGAGGAGAGAGACAGATAGAGGAGAGAGACAGAGAGAGAGAGGAGAAAAGTCAGGGGCACCAGTGGCTCTCAAATGCCCGTTTAACCCACTAGCAAGGGCTGCTCTGTGAAAATCCCATGGGTCACCATGGAAACTGTGCGTGGCCTCAACCCAGCCACATTTCTACCCACAGAAGAGGGAGTCCCGGACCACGACTGTGAGCAGGTGGTTGATGATGTGTTTGCTAGTCAGCCTGACCTCAAGGACTGTCCCCTCCCTAAGGCAGACTTAAACCTGTTCACTGATGGAAACAGCTATGTCCATAATGGAGAGAGGTATGCAGGGTAGGCAGTCACCACCACCACTGAAGCGGTCAAGGCAGCCCACTTGCCCAGAGGCTGGGCAGTACAACGGGCGGAATTACACGCCCTCATTCAGGCCTTGTGCCGTGTGGAAGGCAAAGTGGTCAATATTTACACTGACTCCAAGTACACTGTTGCAACTGTCCACATAGAAGGGGCGTTATACAAGGAAAGAGGGCTGCTGACAGCAGGAGGAAAAGGAATCAAAAATAAGGAAGAAATTCTCAGACTGCTAGAAGCAGTTTGGAAGCTCAAAGAGGTGGCTGTCATACATTACAAGGGCCACCAGAGGAACTGATTCTTGTCTGTACAGGAAACCCGCTGGCTGACCGAGAAGCTAAGGCAGCCGCACTGAAGAAAGGGCCTGTGCAGGCCCCGAGCACTTGTTCACAGTCACCCCTTGGCTCCGAGAGGATGTGGGGAAGCTGGAGTACTCTAAGGAAGAAAACCAGTGGGCACAGCAGGAGGGGGCAAAGCAGAGTGCCGGGGGATGGTGGCCACTCCCTGACAACAGACCAGTGGTCCCTAAGAACTTGGCTCACACCGTCGTTGCTGAGTGCCATGGTCTCACCCACCTAGGTAAACAGCTCTGGAGAGCTTACTCAACAGGTATGACTATAATGCAACCCTCCCCACACTCTGCGCTGCAGTAAGCAATCAGTGCCTTACCTCTGCTAAAAACAACCCCTCTCAGCGGCTGAAACCTGCCCCAGGGGTGCAACAGGTGGGCGGCTACCCCTCTGAGGACGTAGAGGTGGACTTCACTGAAGTCAAGCCCAGTAAAGGGTACAAATACCTACTGGTCCTTGTATGTACATACTGGGGCTGGGCTGAGGCACTCCCAACCAAGACAGAGAGAGCCCGAGAATTAGTGAGAGTCCTACTTTGTGAAATTGTTCCCCGGTATGGGATTCCACTCACCATACACAGTGACAGTGGGCCAGCATTTGTGGCGGAGATCATCCAAGCCCTCACCAGCGTGCTCAAGATTAAGTGGAAACTTCACACAGCCTACAGGACGCAAAGTTCAGGAAAAGTGGAGCGCATGAATCGAACTCTGAAGGTTACACTAGTAAAGCTCTGTCAGGAAACGCAGGCTTCCTGGTTAGATATGCTTCCCCTAGCCCTGCTGTGGTCATGGTGTACACTAGGACCTGCCGGCTACTCACCCTTTGAAATCCTATTTGGGAGGCCCCCCTCTGGTTAACAAAGTGAGGGGGGACCTCAGACAGCTAGGGGAAACAAGCGTGATGTCCCAGCTGCAGGCATTGGGGAAGGTGCTGTCCCAGCTCAGTCAGTTTGAAATAGAAAGAGCACCTATCTCCCTAGCCAATCCAACTCATCCCTTCCAACCTGGGGTCCAGGTCTGGTTGAAAGATTGGAATAAGGAACCCCTTCAGCCTGTCTGGACAGGGCCTCATACTGTAATCCTTGTCACCCCAAATGCTCTCAAAGTTTCAGGAGTCGTTCTGTGGGTACATTATTCCAGAGCCAAGAGGGCCCACCCGGACACGTCGCTGGACTGGTGGACTGCACATCAGACCCTCGGCACCCCATGAAAATCAGGCCCCAGGGCTCTGAATCCTGAGAACTCATCAAGCCCTCCTGTAGTCACACAACCAGAAGCTGACTAGTCAAGGCACGGCCGAAGCTTGGGGAGCCTCCACTGAATCAGCAAATGTGGACTGAAATCTTAGTACTTGGAACTATTCTGACAGCATTTGTTGTTCTATTGTTGTGCGGTCATCCTTGTTGTCCCTTGAGGGACGTTCCTTGTCCATGTCTGGTGTAAAATGTCACTTCCTGTTTTGCTATTAATAATCTTCTTGGCCCTTGCCATCAGCCCTTGTCTAATTAACATACTTTGGTGCGTCATTGAAGCCATGGTCATTAGAAAAACAAATGCTCAGTTGCTGGCCCTCAGTGGGTACAAGCCGCTAAATACAGGCAGCAGGGTGTAAAGGTGATGCTCCCTAATATCCATAAGAGAGCATCAGAGGGGGGATGAAGTGGAAGTTTTGCCCACGATTTCTTTAGCACATAGTCAGCAACTTCCCTATTTTAAAACTGGCACTGTTTTTCTGCTAATAACCGCCTCCTTCTGCTTCTGGACCTCAGCTTATTGCTTACTAGCTAAAAACCTTAAGGAAAACTGCTGCGTCGTCTAAACCTCCTGCGGTGTCTAAAGTTCTGAGTTTCTTCCCCTGCCCCTTCCCCTATAAAAACTGTGTACTTTTCTTAGCCGGGGTCCAGACTTTTGGGTGTGAACCCTTCTGGGCCAGCTGCCATAATAAAGTGTGTTCCTCCATTCCCCTGAGTGCTGCTTGGGTTTCCTGTCAGGTAAAATTTTCCGCAACAGTATCTGTTAAATTTTGGAGAAAAGCCCTCTAACTTCTTTATGCAAAAACAATCGGTATATGGGCTGGGGCGGTGGCTCATGCCTGTAATCCCCGTACTTTTAGAGACCAAATCGGGTGAATCACCTGAGGTCTGGAGTTCGAGACCAGCCTGGCCAGTATGGTTTAACGCTGTCTCTAGTAAAAATACAAAAATTAGGTGGGGCTGGTGGCGGGCACCTGTAATCACAGCTACTTGGGAGGCTGAGGCAGGAGAATCACTCTAATCCAGGAGGCGGAGGTTGCAGTAATCAGAAAACACGCCATTGCCCTCCAGCCTGGGTGACAAGAGCAGAAACTCTGTCTCAAAAAGAAATAAAAAATCAATGGGTATGATTTAGTGTTCATACTAGTTGATATTTTTAACAGAATCAAGGAACAGAAGTCTTAAAACCATGTGGGAAACGTAAGTAATTGTGCAGAGTGTAGCATAGTACTTCAGATGCCTCTCATGAGAAAATTCCATGTACTGTGCTTATGATACAAGTTGTCACAGTTGAGACCTAGTTGCTGTTAATTTCTTTCTGCCTTAAAGTTAAGCGTAGCATCTCACGTACACAATCATGATCCAAAGGTTTGTGGGCAATGTTATACTTAAAATATATATATATACATATATATATATATATGTATATATATATATATATCTCTCATATATATGGTCATATAGACATATATATCTAACATATGTAACATGTGAGACGTGTATCATAGAGAAAAGACATCCTGGGAAATTACAATGGTGAAACTTTAGGAGTATGCCGATTCTTCAATCCAGTGACCTGAGAAAAACAAAAGAAAAAAAAAGGAGTAGAATGATTGAATTCTTGGTATAAAACTTCATCATAATTGTAGTTTGCCAAGTTTATTTCAGTTCATATGTTCAATATTTCAAATAAGCTCTTGAACCATTTTGGGTGGAAACCTGATATTAATAACTAGTATATGGTTCTTTGCAGTTTCTTGAAAAAATTATAAGCTAGGCACAAGGTTCATGTTTCGATTTTAAGCACCCTTCTGACAATGAGAATTTCCTTTTTGGAGATGGGTAACTGTCAACAGTTTGTTAACCTGACATCTCTGCTTATTTAGTTTCTGGGAGATTTTCTGTGTTGGCACTATCCTCTTTTTGCATTAGTCAGGTTGTTTGGTAGAGGTAGAATCTAAGTGCTTTTGTCTCAACCACCTGGGAAAATAGTTGCAAGTTGACCACTGTGTGATTGACAGAATGTAATTTCTCTAAATCCACTCACATATTTCTTATATAGATTTATTTCTGTTCTTCCTTTTTAAAATTTTCACTGAAAACAAATGCAAATATGCTTGGAATGTGGATTTATATCTAAAAGGAACCTTTATATTACTTCCAATAAGAAGAAAGTAATGAAAAAAGGCAAATACAATAACAAATTATTATGATTATTTTTAAAGGGTAACTGATTTACAAAATTAGATACATGAAATTGTGTTAACCTACCCTATATTTGCCTAACTGACTCAATCTTAGCCCCCCCTTCACTTCCCACTGTTCCCCTTTGGAGTGCATTGCTAGGTCAAGCTGTACCCAAGGGCACTCTGGAATGCACTTACTGATAAGGTCAAGCTGTACCACCTCCGCTTAGGAATATGCCCATGGGTAGTACGGAGAGCCCCTAGCCTGGCACCTCTTATCTCCTGACTTCTGTTTACTCTGCTTCTGTAAAAATTGCTTCAGCTAGGCTCCCCCTTCCCTCCTCTAAGCAAGGTATAAAAAGTAACCAGGCCCCTTCTTTGGCCCGAGAGAATTTTGAGCATTAGTCTTCTGTCAGTCTCTGGCAAATAAAGGACTCTTAATTTGAAACTCAGGGTGTGGCGCTTTCCTTCTAACTTGCTCAGATACAACAAAATGATTCTCAGTGAAAATAAAGAAGATCTCTGAGCATATAATAAAAAAGCTAAATTCTGTTTCTCCAAATACGCTTTAAAATTTAAAAATAAGCTATTTGACATGGTGAACAAAAGCCTTTTTTTTTTTTAGATGGAGTCTCTCAGTGTCGCTATCTCGGGTCACTGCAACCTCTGCCTCTGGGTTCAAGGGATTCTCCTGCCTCAGCATTCCAAGTAGCTGGGATTACAGGTGGCCGCCACCATGCCCAGCTAATATTTCGTATTTTTTTAGTAGAGAAGGTGTTTCACTGTGTTGCCCAAAATGGTCCCAAACTCCTAAGCTCGTGATCCGCCTGCCTCGGCCTTCCAAAGTGCTAGGATTACAGGTGTGAGCCACCGCGCCCAGCCACAAAAGCCTTTTTATCTGGATACAATTGTAGGGTTAGTAGGATTTTATAGTTTTAGTATAAATACCATAAGATCTAACTGATTTAGTGGCTAAATATTTACGTCATAATAAAAGCAACTAGAATACTTGATCTCCTGAAAATTTCAAACATTTTTTTTTTTTGGTGTGAAAGGCTCAGGGAGACAATCCTTTTTATTGCCAAGGACCAAGAAAGAAAGTGTAGAAATACTATACACAGTGGTCATGAGCTACAAGATAGGAGTGGGGTGGAGGGGAGACGCGGTAACACAAGGCATTATTCGGAACGAGCTCCAGCTCTTCATTCTAACACTTGAACCAAGGACAGACAGCCATCTTTTTTCAGTAAAGCTGCAGCAGAATGCAAATGTGACTCAGTTTATCAGCTCCCACAGGGCAGGCTGCGCAAGAGGCTGTTGTAAGCTGGCTTTGGGAGCCCCCATCTCAAACACAAAGTGGATGCTAAAGGTGGTCCCTAGCCGCTGCTGGTGGCTGATCCTGGCTTGCTAGGTCCTGGGCATTTCTCAATTCTCAATAATCAGCTTGTCAGTTGAATACAGTTGGCCAATGTGGACCTGTCAACGAATTATTCCAAGGTCTCTCTTGGCTTTATTCACCAGGGTTTGAATTTCTACAGGATCCTTTACATTTTTATTTTCTCTGAAGGCATCTCTTATCCTCCTGACAGCATCCGTTCTGTAATTGTAGGCGCTGAAACGCTTGCTTTCTCTCAGCATAGCCCAGTACAGATCTAACACTTGTGCGCGGCTGGAAGCTGCCATTTTGGCACAAGCAACTCTTTCTAACACCACCACCAATAGAGATAAAATGTAACTTTTACAAGAAACGTAATTTAGCAGGCCAAGGTGGGTGGCTCATGCCTGTAATCCCAACACTTTGGGAGGCCTAGGCGGGTGAATATCCGGAGGTCGAGAGTTCGAGACAAACCTGACCAACATGGAGAAACTTTGTCTACTAAACACACAAAAATTGGCCAGGCGTGGTGGTGCATGCCTGTAGTCCCAGCTACTTGGGAGGCTGAGGCAGGAGAATCGCTTGAACCCAGGAGGCAGAGATTGCAGTGAGCGGAGATCACACCATTGCATTCCAGCCTGGGCAACAAGAGCAAAACTCCGTCTCATAAAAAAAAGAAAGGTAATTTAAAGTCGTCAGTGAACAACTTATCAAAACTCATCCAGTCCGCAAGTGAGTTTACACAGATCCCTTGTCTCTGTACCCTCTAATATGGGGAGGGACAGGGATGGCCTAAGACAGGGACTGAGTGGACTTGCTGTGGGGGACTCAGTTTCTGGGCGGGTCCCATTCATCCGCTCGCAATTCTGTAGGCTGTAGCAGGTGGCGATCACCCTTGGGCCTCCTAGGTACAGACACTAGGAGGACTGCCCAGATTCACTTACCAGAAGGCGCCCATAAGAGCCCAGAGGTGCAGGTGTTCCAATTCCCACAGGTGCAGGAGGACTACTGGTGGCTGCAGGGCACAGATAAAGAAAAAGTGCATGGATCCCACGTACCAGTCCGTGCCCAGCAGAGATCCGAATGTCCATTTTAGTTACATGGGACCCTCCAGACCGCTCGTCCCAGAAGCCGCCCTCCCCTGAGCTGTCTCTCCACCTCTGTGCCCACCCAATCTGTCAGAGTATTCCAGGCAATTTAGCCCGCTAGGGCCTGTAGCCTGCACTCTCCAGACATGCTGTCCCAGTCGACAGCTCAATATCTGCTTGCCCAAGCACCCGGAGGCTCCGAGATCCCCAGACAGCCCTGGAAGACAGGCTGATGCACTTACTAAAATAGAGGGCCCTCTCTGGTGCCAAAATCCCGCAACCTGTATTGGAAAATAACTCTTCCAAATAGCTCCTCATCCTTCAAATAGCTGGGAGATGATTCCAGTCAAGTTGCAATAACAGGGATCAGATTTACACTCCTGCTGGAAAGAACCAAAACCTAACAAAAAAATGACACCACACTTTTCAAGACATAGAATATCAGGTAAGGAAGAATCGTAACCCCTGAATCACAGGGGGAAAATGAGTGATTGGAGAGACGGGGAGGTGAACACTAGGGTTAGCCCCTAACTATGGCTTTGAGTTTCCAGGCCCCACTGCAGGAAGGCAGAACCCAAGCAGAGCCTGGTGGACTCCCAGCATTGATGAGGAGTTGATAGACTGGGAGATGGGGGCAGCTAGAGCTGATATGACAACATACCAAGAAGGCGAGAGGTGTAGTAAGGGATAACTCCAGAAGGAACGTCTGCAGCATTCAGCTAATACTCATGAACATGTGCCCATATGGAAACTATACAGGACAGAAAAGGCTACCCAGAATGATCAGAGGTAGCACGATACTGAATAGTCTAAAGTCACTAGGAAATTGTTTCTCCTTGTGAAACAAACAGGAATTATGTCACTGAATTTAATACTGTCACAAGAAAGGGATGAAGATCAGGATTGAGGGGCAAAAAGGGCCATCTGTGGTGGTGGCTGGTTAGCTCCGTTGGTTAGAACATGGTGCTAATAATGCCAAGGCTGTAGGTACAATCCCCATGTGGGCCAGTTGTTTTCCTCAGTGCTTTTTTGCGGTTTTCAGCCAGCAAAGAGCTGAGGGTAAGTAGCAATGCTTTAAGATGGTCCAAATTCACTGCCATCATTTCTTAATCCACTTGCAGCCTAACTTCATTCCCAAATCCCCCAAAATTCTACATCTCCTCAGGTAAAGTTCTTATTCTTTTCCTCCATGTGTAAGGGCTGGGGCAGAAGGATGTTCAGGGCAGAGGGCCTAAGTCTGGGAGCCCTGCCCAATGAAAGAAAAAAAAAATTAGAAGATCACTGGCTTTTAAAAAGTTATTTAAATAAAGCTTACTTGATTTCAACTTGTCTCTCCAAATTACTCCTGAAACCAACCTTCTTTCTCAAATTGTCAGGAGATGCAAGATAAAGAGAAGGAATATTTAATTGTTCTTTCCAGTTGGAAGCAGTATGCAGGATGCATGTTTATTAATCACAAGAGGCCAGATTTGACTCCTGTCTAGTTCATCCTTTCCTAAAAACTAAACAAAAAACCAAACCAAAACAAACAAAAAAAGCAAGTCTGTGTTCCATGTTGAAAGAGATAGCTTCCTCTCAGGGCAATCTTGTCTTTCAGTTAAATCTGAGTCTTCAGAGACATGTATTCACAATCTCCTGAGAATTTCTTCTCTTTATATTGTATCCCTTGATAATTTGAGAAAGAAGGTTGGTTTCAGGAGTAATTTGGAAGGACAATTTGAAATCAAGCAAGCTTTATTTAAGTGATTTTTTTAAAACCAGTAATAGTCTAATTCTTTTTTTTCTTTCATTAGGCAGGGCTCCCAGTCTTGGACCAGCTGCCCTGAACAGATTTCTGTCCCCAGCCCTTACACCTGGGGGAAAAGAATAACTTTACCTGAGGACATGTAGAATTTTGGGGGATTATGGAATGGAGTTAGTTTGCAGGTGGATTAAGAAACGACAGCAGCGAATTTAGACCATCTTCGGGCACCCTCAGCTCTGATTCACTGGCTGAAAACTGACAAGTTTCTCTAGAACTACCGAGAAAAACATCTGGCCCGTACGGGGATCGAACCCGCGACCTTGGCGTTATTAGCACCACGCTCTAACCAACTGAGCTAACCGGCCGATGCCGTGATTTCCTTTTTCTCCCACCACCTCCATTCCGACCTTCATCCCTCTCTTGTGAAAGTATTGAATCAGGCCAGGCGCGTTGGCTATCGCCTGTGATCTCAGCACTTTGGGAGGCCGAGGCGGGTGGATCACGAGTTCAGGAGGCCGAGACCATCATGGCTAACACTGTGAAACCCCGGTCTCTACTAAAAATACCAAAAAGTTAGCCAGGTGTGGTGGTGCGCGCCTGTAGTCCCAGCTACTCGGGAGGCTGAGGCAGGAGAATGGCTTGAACCTGGGAGGTGGAGGGTGCAGTGAGCCGAGACAGAGCCACTGTACTCCAGCCTGGAGACAGAGCGAGACTCCCTCTCTAAAGAAAAAAATATATATTAAATTCAGCGATATTATTTCTATTTGTCTCACAAGGAGAAATAATTCCTTAGTTGCTGTAGACTCTTAATAAAAATGAGAAACTTTCTCCTAAAACCTAAACAAAACAAAGAAAAAGCGTTTTTAATGGATTTATTTTATTTTTTAAGCTGTGTTCCTAGAGTTGAAGGAGGACGCTTAAAAATTTCAAACCGCGGCGAATGGCCCAGGAATCCGTGTAAATATTTGCTGCTTTCTAAATGCCTGGTAATCAATACGTGCCGACAGTGAATCAGACTCGGTGAAATGATAGCGAGTCCTTGTCTTGTAGGAGCCGTTCACTAATACAACCTAGAAATTGGCCCCTGAAGGACCTTCCCGATGAGCCTGATTCTCGATGGCCCCACAGTCGAGATCGTCCCGGGTTTCTTCTGCCCGGGCATCCATTCTGGAAGTTTTCCTATCTGTTGCGTCAGATTTCCAGGGTGACCGCAAATCAAAGCCCACTTTGAAGACCTTGGTATTAGAGAATTCCGGAAATGTGGCACTACTCACCATCCAGGGACGGTTAGACCGATCTTTCCACCCATTGTCGCCCAAAAATATTACCATTGTTTTTAGCATATTCTTCGTCATTGTAGAGATTTTGAACGCATAGACCAAGTTAAACAAACGTTTTCTTTTTTCTCTTCACACATAGTGGCATTTTATCCACTTTTTAAATCCCTTTTTTTTTTTTTTTTTTTTAGACGGAATTTCGCGCTGTCGCAGAGGCTGGAGTGCAGTGGTGCGATCTCGGCTCACTCCAAACTCCACCTCCCAAGTTCAAGCGATTCTCCTGCCTCAGCCTCCCGAGTGGGGACTACAGGTGCGTGCCACCACGCCCACCTTTTTTATTTTATTTTTTATTTTTTTTTATTTTTAGGTTTCACTGTGTTACCCAGGATGGTCTCGATTTGCTGACCTCGTGATCCGCCTGCCTCATCCTCCCAAAGTGCTGGGATTACAGGCAAGAGTCATCACACCCGGCCCCTTGGTGGTTTTTTTTTTTTTTAACTCAGAATGTATTTTTGCAGTTCTTTCATATTAGAACAGAAAAGTGTTTTTCATTCCAAGTCTGTATAGTATTCAATTATATGAGTATATACCACACTTTAGTGGGCATAGCTTAGACTTTCATCCTCCTATTGCAAAGTTTCTAAATATGAACATACACCATATCTGACATGCGCCATATTTTTGCACATGTGAAAAAGCTGCATCAAAATGTATGTGCATTGGCAATTTTGATGGCCTTTGTCACACTGTGCCTTAGAGGGTTGATCCCAAGATTCTTTTTGCTTGCTTGTTTTAACTTTATTGAGCACAAATAGGATCCTGGGCACATTTCTACCCCTTCTTCTTCCTGAATTTCCTGCTACAAATTTGAAGCAAAACTAGACAATCAGTATGTAGATTGTCTAGTTGGGGCATACTAGATTCTGGAATATTGTTTTTGGGGTACAAGTAATGATGTAAAAAGAATGTGGTAGAATCAGGTGGGAGAAGGAATCAGGTGAGAGAAGGAAAACAGTGAGAAGGAGCCACAGTGGCCTTATTTTGTCACCTCAGAGAGAACAACAGGGCAGAAACACCTGAGGGAAAGGAGCTAAGACAAGTCAGTCTGTCTGGAGACTGACTGAGCTGCAGAGTGGTACGGGATGAGAAGTAGGAGATGAAGCCTGAGGAGGAGAGAACATGTATTAATACATGATGCAAAACCCTCTAGTAGATTACTAT